GTAATGACTATAAATTAGTTTAATTTAGAAAATAATTTTGTACTTAGGAACAAACAGTGATTGGTTTCAATTGTCTTCGTAATACAATCAGTACCTAACTTACAATACCAATTGTATAGTAGTCTCACCCTGTACGTATATTGATTAATCTCTAGCTATGAAAAACCAATATTAATTACTAGCATTATTATATCAAGTTGAATAACTGGTTCAGTAAAATGTCTGACATGCCAAGTGGCGTAAGTATTGTTACGTCTCTGTTCGTTTGTTAATTTTCCGTAAAAATTCTTCCCGAAGAAACTTTAGCGATACAAGTCCTTTCTTAAATAAAACTAGTTTATTCTTTCTCAATACAACTTTGCAATACACTTAATTTCCACAGTCATGCTATAACTTAAACAAACGATTCACGCGCTTAACTCAATTGTCGTCTCCATCTCTATCTGCAATTCAATTACATTGTTGCCGTCACTTCTTGGCGGTCTTATATACAAGAGTACCGCACATCTAGTAAAAACTCGAGGCTTCACGAAGGGGCATGAATTTTCTAGAAGCTCATGACGTGTTACTAGCATCACGTGACTTCCGCTGTCGTAACAGTATTTTCGTTAACAAACATAATAATATAAAATGTTCATTGTGGTAAACTAAATAATAATTTGATCTAAGTAAGCTTTTTCTTTCCGATTTATAAAAAAATCCTTACTTGATAGAAAAAATTAATATTATTTTCGAAATCTGCGTAGCTTAATTATGGAAAATCTGTTATTAAAACCAAAACAACTTTTATAAAGTTTAAATTCGCAGGCTTGTGTAATTGTAGGGTAATGCAAAACGTTTGGCCATAGTTGTAGAGTCATCTGAAAATATTTTAATATAATAAATTATGTCGATGGCCTGGCATTGCCAGGTGGTTAGGGGCGCTCGACTCGCAATGTACGGCTCGAATACACGTCTCACCATACATGCTCGTCCTTTCAGCCATGGGGGCGTTATAATGTGACGTTGGTAAAAGAGTAGCCCAGCAGTTGGCGGTGGATGGTGATGACTAGCTGTCTTCCCTCTAGTCTTTCACTGCTAAATTAGGGACGGCTAGCGCAGATAGCCCTCGTGGAGCTTTGCGCGAACTTCTAAACAACCTAAATATGTCGACAATTGCACGAACTAGACGCGAATACTCACAACTAACATTCCAATATTATAGTCTGGTAGAGTGCTTTAGTAATGCAGTGTTATATTGCACTGGTCGCTATTATACCTCATTATCTTCTAAACAACCTAAATATGTTGACAATTGCACGAACTAGACGCGAATACTCACAACTAACATTCCAATGTTATAGTCTGGTAGTGCTTTAGTAATGCAGTGTTATATTGCACTGGTTGCTATTATACCTCATTATCTGAAGAAGATAAATCAGAATTGAAAACTTTGTCATATTAAGCATCTGTTTGTACAGTTCCAGAGATCCGGGTGGTATCGCCTACCGAGGTGACTGAAGAACAAGCACGAGGCCTTCTAGAACCTGACGTCGATCGCCTGAGGGTATCTGGACGACCCAATGTCTCCTACTGTGGCAGTAATGCTTCTTCGACTATGAGAGCATCTAATTCAGAGTCTTCCACCATTGGACGACCCGATGTCTCCTACTGTGGCAGTAATGCTTCTACGACTATGAGAGCATCTAATTCAGAATCTTCCACCATTGGACGACCCGATGTCTCCTACTGTGGCAGTAATGCTTCTACGACTATGAGAGCATCTAATTCAGAATCTTCCACTGTTGGACGACCCGATGTCTCCTACTGTGGCAGTAATGCTTCTACGACTATGAGAGCATCTAATTCAGAGTCTTCCACCGTTGGACGACCCAATGTCTCCTACTGTGGCAGTAATGCTTCTACGACTATGAGAGCATCTAATTCAGAGTCTTCCACA